TCTCACGACAATTCACGAAGGTTCGAGAGAACGAGTGGCGTGACACTAGTCACGTGACCTCGCTGACGCAACAATACTTCTAAAATCCTATTTGAAACACCTTATATATAAAATTTTATTTAGGGTGTGTGTGTGAAAAATCCCTAAACATTAACAAAATTTGTAAACATTAAAATATATATATATTTAGATGTAGATTTGATTATTGTAGGATGTAATTTTCTTCACTTATCCCTGTATTTTTTATCGCATTTTATTTTGTTTCTGGATGGTTTATTCTTCAAGGCAATTAATATAAATCTGGTAAAAAATAACAATTAATTCCTTGAAAGCTGTTGTGCTCTAGATATTCATGTTTGTTAGTTAGAGATCAAATCCACAACAGGATGTGAAAGTATTTTAGCAGAACAACAAAGATAAGCTGATTCAGTTTTAGGACATATTTTGCAATGCTATTTTTACACCCAAAGAAGTGCAGGAAAGATTTTATGCCAAAGAAAATTGCTTCTCATTGCCAATGATTTTTATTTCGTATTGATTTATTGACAAGATTTAATGGGAATATTAGTAGAGCATTTGTTTTGTACACTGGATTGGAAAGAAGTTTGGATGATGCTGTATACTTATGTGTGTATATGACGCATAGTAACTATTTTCGCAAGACATGGTGTCAATTATCACAAGTTTACATATTTGTTATAGTTTTATGCAACAAAATATGTTGTAATTTTTACCTCAAGATTGTTGTAAGAAACCTTTGGTAAGTTATAAAAAAATTATTGTGTAATAATTCTCAAATCTTTTTCAATTACAGTAAGCCTATTTCTAAGGAAACTTCAAAAGTTTATTTTTGAGTACAAAATTACACAATGGGCTATCATCTGTGCTATGAACACCATGGATACCTTACCCTGACTGTTAGCATTGTAAACCCACTCACTAGTTTACTGCTGAATCACCATGAGGATAAACTGCATTCACGGGTCCTTATGTACGCTTTATTTTAAACAGTTTTTTTTTTACCAAATACCTAATATCTATTCTGAATGTTAGTAATATTTAATTAAATCATGATATTCTTAATAAGGGTTTGGTGTATTAGTATATCTTTACTATTATATAAAAGAAACGTTAGTTGTGCGTGAAACTTGGATATTTATGTAAAAGGGCATAGCATGAATCTAAAGGGGAGGGGGTGCTATGTTTTGAGGAAAATGGAAATGACTGTCAAAGCCATTGTGGGGGAGGCTCATAATAAGTTTGTAGTGTGTAGAAATGGTGTTTTTTAAATATTAGGTATGGTAGTACTTAATAGTATAGATCGACAAGGATTCCAAATAATTCATGCGCCGAAACACCACCCTATCGAATTCCTAAGCGAAAATCCGACCATTCAAAGTATTTGATACGATATATTATGCCCATATATACTAATAATATGCTAAAAAGATCGCTAATATTTCCGGTATAACAATTCAAAAAATTCTAACAGCAACTTTTTTTTATCTATTACCTACCTACCTGATCACTTCAGCTGGGCTAGTGCCTAGATGGCTGGGACTGTTGCTACAAGATTTCTCCAGCTTACTTGACTGGTCTGTGGGTATCCGCTTTTGATATTCCGATAAAACTGCATATATAGGTATAATGTAAATGGGAAACATATCATGCATGTACTTAAATATCTTTCAACCCAACAGATGGTGCTACATATCGATGGGTAGACATGCGACAGTTTCTAAAGGTAAAATATATACTTTATACAGGTATAACATAAAGGTAAACAAACAATAGTATTAAAAAACTATGAATTTTAAAATGAAGTAGGTATCCTGCTATAAAACCCCCGTTGTATTAGCATGTTGATTGTGCTTCGCACAATATGTGTTGCCTTTTGATCTCACAAATTAGAATTCCCCTTTCAAACGTTCTGCGTATCTTATATACAATAACATTTCCAATTCAGCTATCAGTGCCAAAAATAAACAGATATGTATTACGTTTCAGCATAGGTTTAAAATTATTAAAGGCTAGATTAAATCAAGTAATAGGAAATAAGTTATATTTTTTTAAGAATATATATATATGTTACGTCTCCGTTTGTTAATTGATTTTTCCGTAACTTTGTTCCGACGAAATTTTAACGACACAAGTCTTTACTTAATAAAACTGGTTTATTCTTTCCGAATATAACTTTACCGATACACTCAACTTCAACAATCGCGCTCAACGAACGTCAATAATACTTGTGACTGCAGATCAATTACACACTATCCACACACACATTACCTTCCCCTGTTTTATATACCAGCCTA